CCTCCAATAAAATTATTTTTTAAAAGAATATTATTACATAATTTATCTCTCCTTCTCACTTAAACTGAACGTGAAGACTGACGGCCCATGTGAGCATTCCCTCCTGACTTCAGACTGTATTGGAGTTGACCTGAAGAACATCAGTTGAAGCCAAAAGATGCACTGTTTCGTGTTCTGAACAAGCAAAGGCAAAACCACGGCACGGAATTCTCCTAAAAGAAGAACGGGGAAACTGGCCACTCGTTCTCACTCTGGCGTTCAGAAAGATTAACAGACTGGATGCTGCTCTCCGGAGGTCAGAGACCTGTTCTCTATCCATTATTTCCCAAGAGTAACACCCTTTCTTTTTCATTTCAAGACTTCAGGTTGGGAAGTATAAGGGTTTGTGCGGGGCCTGGGGTGAATGAGGGTGGGGAACTACTGGCAAAGACGGATGTTTCCTGAAAGAAAACATCAAAGATAAAGTTGCTACAGAGTCCTGAAGGACCCTAAAGGCATGAGGATCATAAGACATATTTTCAGACTAAAAGTCTGCAGTGGATTGGCACAGTGAAATCCTCCTGTCTGTAAATAGTACTGTGAAGCCATGTGCCGTAGGCTCATTGGCAGTGAAGCTACAGAAGAGTTAAAAATATAAGAAACACAAATACTTAACAAACAAATACAAACAAAAGGAAAGCAGAGGTAGAAATTTTCATTCCAGACAAAGAAGAATTCAAAGCCAAAACCATTTAAAGGGGGTAAAATGGCCAGCACGTGGTTTGAGCCTAATAAAGTTAAAACAGCTGTGAGCATTTCTATACCGAGTCAGGTAACATCAAAGTGCAAATAGCAAAACTTTTTTAAGTACAAGGAAAAACTGAAAAGGGGCAGTTGTTGGAAGCATTACACAGACTTTTCAACCTCTTATAGAACAGGGAGATAGAAAAATAAATGAGTGTTAGAGCAAGAATGGAGAGAGAGGGCTAGTCAGAAAGTTCGACCATTTCAAACCATGTTCTAGGGAAAAAATAGAAAAAAGTGGGGAAAACAAGAGAATGCTCACTATCTCCAGGAGATTCAGCTCTGGGGTGTCCTATGCCAATAACACCATGGGGGTTTCTACTCCCATAAAGAGTTATAGTCTGGGAAACTCACACATGCAGTTCTACTCTGTCCTGTAGGGCCACCAAGTCAGCATCAACTCAATGGCAGTGAGTTTGTTTATTGCTTTTGGGGGCTTTTTTTGAGGGGAGGCATGGAGGGAGGTCAGAGAAGTTACAATTACATTTCCTTTGTTCTCAGGTGACTTGTAGAACAAAATTTCAGTGCAGAAGAAACCACACGCCCGTATTCTCATCCATAAATTCTTCTGGACTTGACATAATGAATTCTCTGGGAATATAATTGAGGGGTATGACTCTCTACAGGCTAGCTAACTTGCTTAAAGAAATCAACATAGAAGCTGGATTATATCTTAGACACACTCCTGATCCCACCACATGAGTCGAAAATATGGTTTCCACTTCCCAAAGTTTTTTTAAACAAAATCTTGGTTGGTTGAAGGTATTTCTGATTCCGCAACTCATGAGATATTATGCTTGGTTGTGTGGGAACTTTCCCTTAAGAGCCTATAGTTGGGCATGACCAGAGTAAGAACAAAGTGAGTTCTTTTTAAGTACTGATATCCCAAACTAGCACAAATAAGCTTAGTTTTAAGCTTCGGTTCATTATCAGTGAACTAATTCCTAAGGTTTATACATCAGGTAGCCAGTGTAGTAGAATGCGAAACAAGGCTATGAGAGCTACATCAAAGGTTTCCCCTAAAAGACCATTATTGAGCTAGACGGGTTCATTGATCATCAGCTGGGAGTCCTTGCAAGACATTTAGGCTAGGTTCAAGATGCAGTCTGGTAGCGAGGCACAAATGTACATAAATGGTTAAATATAAAATGGTACAAATCGTCAACTGCCAGGCATCTGTCAGCTCTCCTCTGCCCGCATAAGTATTAATGGAATTCAGATCATAAGGGGTAAGAAGGAAGCAGCCAGGAATCCCTCTCACTATGGCCAGAATCTTAGGGTTTCATAGCATGGTATAGCTACATATACAGCTATGATTGATACAAGGCTGCAGAACACATCTGGCTCATCTATTCAAAAGAACCATCATAAGGGCTCGGGTTTTAAATCTGTTTACAAAGAAAAATATATGAGATCTATTAGAGTTTCTGCGTATAAAAATTTACTATACTGTTGATTTGCTGGCTGAGAAGGAAAAGCCAATTTGCATGGCTCCGGTCAGTCACATGTGGTTTGGAAACGGTGATGCATTCCAGATACACTCTGTGTAAACTGGAGAATAAGATCCTATTTCTACTGGTCTGCATGCATGCATATAAAACTTGTTTTTCCCACCATGCCACATGAAAATCAGGAAAGAACGAGCAGAAAGGATCACAATTCATCAGCGTCTTTGTCAGAGCTTCCAGTTGTGATGAAGAAGGGAATTCTTGTCCCGCAGCTTTGGAGAGGCTTCAGCCTCTACTTTTTTGGTTTGCTTCTTCAGTTCTGTCCTTCAAGTGATAAGAAACGATGCCTCTCAATTGCAGTCAAAATCTGGTTTATGAGGACTTACCGTGTCTCAGGCCCTCGCTAGGTTCAGGGTTCCCATTGTGAGGGAGCTCAGACTCAGGGAGTATGTACAATAAGTAAATGAATCGTTATCCCTGAAGGTGATAGCTACTTTGGTCACGTTTGGAATAGCTGCCATGTCCTATGAAAACAAGGACGGAGTTCACAGAAAGCTTTGCCGGAGATGCAGCCTGATGGCGAAGTATGAGTTGAAGAAGTGTGGGAAGGCACTCCAGAAAGGAGGGACATGGTGTGCAAAGATGTGAAGCCCATCAAGAACACATGTTTCAGAAAATTGAAAGACATTCCGAACGGCTTGAGGCCAGAGGTCGAGCCAGTAGGAAAAGCAATTTGAAAATACATGAGAGAGAGGCAATGATCTTAGTAGACAACATAATGTTAATAGTCTACTTCTTGGGTTACTATTTGAACATGGTCACTCATTAAGAAGACATAAAGATTGCAGATGCACGAGCTGAACTCGCACAACCTGCAATCCAAGTATCCCTCACTGGTTTTCCCTGCCTCGCATTCGATCAATATCTAACACAGAGCCAGTGCTTAATTAATACCAATTATCCATATTATCAGAATCCTGGGCGTCCTAATGGTTCAATGCTTAGCTGCTAACTGAAAAGTCAGCAGTTCAAGCCCACCAGCAGCTCAATGGGAGAAAAGACCTGGTGATCTGCTCCCATAGAGATGACAGCCTACAAAACCCTGCTCTATCCTGTCACCTAGGGTCTCTATGAGTCAGAATTGACCAGACAGTGAACAATGGCAATGCCAATACTGCATGTGGGAGGTAGCTTCTGAGATAGCGCCCAAGGATTCTTGCCTTTTTGCGGTCTCCTCCCTTGACTAGGGGCTGAACTTAGTGATTAACGGCTAATGGATAGAACATGACAGATATAATGGCTGCCACATCCGATAATTCAATAAAGTCTTAAATAACAAGAGCATCCTTTCTCTTAGAGTGCCTTCCATATGTTCACTCTCTCTGGTTCTACTTCTCTCTTAGATCACTGGTAGCCATGTCATAAGGGTAATTAGACAGCTTATGGAGAGGTCCATATGATGAAGAATTTAGCCATTCCTATCTGAGCACACCTACTGCTAGCACCCATGTGAGGGAGCTTAGGCAAAGATATTCTGAGACCTGGCAATGACCAGGTGAATTAAATTACAAGTAAAAATTTTAGCTTCATTTCCGCCTTGAAATAACTGTAGTCCCAAACAATGGCTTGGCCACACACCCTCCTGAGAGACCCAATGCAAGAGCTCCCAGCTGAATCATATCTGAATTTCTCACTCACAAAAACTGTGGGGAGGGGGTGGGGGTGGTTGGTGTGGGAAAGCCCTAAATTCTGAGGTAATTCCCTGCACAGTAATAGATAACCAGTACAATACTGTTAGACTGTCTGATAGGATTTTCTTCGCATCCCTAATCAGGGCTGGGATTCAAGTCTCCCTGGGACGGTCATGGTGGTACTAGAGTTTTTCCTTGGCAAAGGAGCACTGCCTATAATATCAGCTCTTATAACTAGGACCCTGTTGCCATTCCATGAGTGACACGACCTTCTTACCTACTGTATAGACTATTTAGAAAATTATCCCAGCCAAGCTGAAGCACAGATGATTGTGTAAGGAGTGCTCCCTCCCTAGCTAGGAGTCACCTTGGATACAGCACATCATGAAGTTCCTTTACTGGCCTCTGTTGAGAGTCCAGTGAACCTCACCCTCTGTCTCACAGTCAGAGACGCCCACAGAAAGAAACATGTAGCAAACATATTTCTGATTCCTGTCTTTAGCCCTGATTGAGTATATGACATGTTTCAGAAAGTAACTGTGAAGCTTACTGTGTACATTGTCCAGGTGGGAACAAAGAGGAAGACATACACCTTGCTTAAGGGACATTGAGTTTTTGGCAGGGAAAATTTGGCAGTTTGTAGAGCAATGTTGATTTCAAGCCAGTGGTTTAGTAGGTACCAAAAAACTCCAGAATTTAAGACCCTGTAAAGATGTTAAATATTTACATAAAAATCATGCTCAGCTAAGGAAAGAAGGGCAAATACAAAACCTGAGTGTGGCTTCTAGAAACTGCTCTTTACTTTTTCCCCTATGTTTCTTTGGTAGTTCTAGACCCATTTTTTAAGTTAGTGATTAAACACCACTGTATACACAACGATAAGTTCCAAGATGATGCACATGAATGTGTTCAACAAGTTGTTGTGAAAATGGAATTTAAAAGAAAATTAACTTTTTCATGAACATTTTGAAACCCTCCTCATATATCACAGCCACAACACAAACATAGACACACACACACAGAGGTTTTTTTTTATGGGGGGTAGGGGGGTGAAGAAGGAAAGAAAGGGACTTTGTACCTCTGTCCCTGATAATCTTGCTCCTTGAGCCCAGGGATGCAGTTATGGGGAGCTGGAGGGCTGATGTGGGAGGTTGTCCTTAGGGCCACCGCTGAGATGCCCACCAATGGGGATGACACATTCAGCAGCGCGGAGGTGATGTGGTGGGAGAAGACATTGGGGTGATGGGTCACATTGACAACCAGTGGGTTATGTTGGCATGACAATTCGTATGTTCCTGAAGAGAAATAAATAGGTGAATAATATCTCCAGGCTATTCATGTAGCACTGTGTTTCCCGAGGTAGTATTCATTTTATGTTGTTAATAACTGTATAATGGAAGCAAGGTCCCAAACCCCAAAGAAGAGGTCGCTATCAAGCTGATTCCTAAGTCTACTAGGTGACCCCTAATGGTCCTAAACAGAACTGCAAACTCACCCAGAGAGTAGTTCTTTTCATTGATGTCAGTCAGCTGGAGGGTCAAGGTTGACCGTGGCTGCTTCCCAGAGGTCCGGCCATCAGACGTGAAGAAAATGAAAACTGCTGTGGCCACTCCTGGTCTGTTGAAGCAGACCTACACATAAACATATAGGTACATACGTGAGCTGCTGTGTCCCCGTAACGCTCAAGGCATGTGACACACGTCAGTCTTCCCAGATACCTCACATGCATAAAGCAAGAACTCCCGTCAACTTTAGAAATAAGAACATTGGAAGTAGGCAGCCAAGAGAAGATGAAAAGAAGATCGCTTCCAGCTCCTGAACTGCATGTGAATGTTAGACGGTGTGCCCCAACTGTCTCTGGGACTTGTCCTTGCCTTTCTTTAGATTTCTCAGAAAGATCATTTGAAAAGAAGCGGACACCAAGATAACATCTAGTTCTGAACTATTTTCCTAACTCTGCATTGGCATGGCTGCAGCTGGTCATTCCATCCCTTCTCCTAGTCTTCCTCCTAAAAATGTCACCAGACTCTCCTGTTAGCATATGAACTATACGCAGATGACAAGTGTGTGTGTGGGGGGGGGCAGTGGTGGTGGTAACTATGCAGTCTGTCACTTCTGAGATCACAGATGACAAGGTGTTTGTTCTTATGCCCTTCTCCTGGGGTCCAAGTGGTGTCCAAACCCAATCCTTGGCTGAAAATGAACGGAGGCACAGAGAAATATATTTCTTTCTAGAGCATATTCTTTAAATGTGGAGGTTTTCAAACATTAAAAGAAACGTTCAAAGCGTGCAATGGGAATTTTATCCCTGGGAATCCTTTATTAAATAAAGAAAACCTCTCAGTGGCGAGAAGATAAACAGGACGACCTGAGGTTCTCATGTCTCGTACTGAAAGTATCTCATGTGGCACTTCAAGTTTTGCTTTGTGTCTTAGTTCTGCACATTGCTCTTAGTTTCAGTTACGAGCAAATCCCAACCTCCCCTTGTGTTATAAGTCTTAATCAGGATCCAGCACAGGTCCAAACATTGCATTCCTTTCACTTTTGACTTAGACTCCAAAGCTGAGCAAGCTGTAGGAGAACTGCTTCTGGTGTTAAAGCAAGGTACAACATCTACTGGCAGAGGCCTCCTCTAAAGGTGAGGAGCAGGGGAGAGTCAAAAAAGTTTTCCATTTCAATGAAAACTCTCCCTTGTCTGCAAGCTGACTTCTGAGTCTTGGCATGTTTATAGAGTGTCCATTTGCACTTCTGGCTTAATTCAGGTGATTTTATGACTTGCGGTGTTTGAAGTAGCACAGATATCCCTTCTTCCTCTACTGCTTTGAGGGAAAGACCAGCCACACTCTCTTTTTACGGTGACTCCCCCTCCCCTTTTCATTTCCTCTCTTTGAAGTACTAAATATTCCTTCATAACTTAAGACCTCCAGACCCATAAGTTATGACTTGCAGCATGAGGTCCTTTGTCCCTGACTGGGCGAGAGTTCGACATGAAACACATCATAAGGTAAGTAGGAACCTAACTCAAAGCCCTCAACTGCAGCAGCAAATGACATCAAAGCCCTCTGGGAATACCTGTAACCTCTTCCTTTTTGTAGACCACAAAAGGTCTGGGTTGTTTCCTAAGCCAGGAACAGACAGAGTCCAAACAAGTACCCAGTGGTTTTACCTCAATAGGACTCAAAGCTGAAGAGGGGGTTGGTTTCAATAAGGATCAAGAGAGTTTACCCTTTCCGGTCTTCTACTGGGCTCCAAAATAGACACCACCCACCTCGAGCTAGTTAGTAGAGCTAATTCTTATGATGTGGATTTCTCAGATCCAAGTGCCCCCACACACGAATTCCACCTCACTTTCCATCTTCTAGAAATGTCCCTACTTGCTCTAAGAGTCTTTGAACATCAAGCCACTTTGATTTTCAAAGCCTGTTCCAAGGGACAGTTTGCACCTTGATTTGTGGAAGACAGGTGGACCAGAATTTCCAAGCCATGTATTTAAGCAGGAAAACCACAGTTGATACTTGTACAGGAGACAAGCGGAGGAATGCTGGGCTACCAAAAACAGACACAGGATTCGATCAAGGTACAGATTGCTGAGATGTGGACAGCTTTTCCTTTCAAAGGAGCAAAGCCCAATACCATTCTCATCTGAACACTAAATATGTCCCCGCAGAAGCACAGGGAAATGGACACTCTCTTACACAACTTATATATCAGAGCCTCTACAGCTGAGTTTGAATCTGCACATATAAACATAATGGACACAAACGAGGAACAAACTCATGAGGCTATGATGGTTTTAGTAGTAGAGTTATCACCTTCTTTGCAGGAAACTCCCATTGGATTCTGGGCAATTCAGCGAGTGAAGGCTTGCATGTTGCTATGATGCTGAATAGGTTTCAGCAGAACTTCTAGACTAAGGCAGAGTAGGAAGAAAGTCTTTGTGATCTACTTCGAAAAATCAATGAGGGCAAACCTTTAGATTCCAACCCTTTAACTCTTAAATAATCATGTGGATGGCACAGGATTGGGCAGCATTCCATTCAGTTATACATGGGGTTGCCATGAGTTGAGATTTGACTGGATAGAAGCTAACACCACAAAATTGAAGCTGATCACATTAATGGTTCTAGAGAGACATTTGGTCATTTAGAAGGACTGGGCTTCATTTGGGGATCTACCCATATTAGGTAGGCAAATCTGAGCAATCCATCTCTCTTCCTTGAGGTGAGGGTTCATATATTCCCTACCTACCAAACCTAGTAACTTTAAGGATTAAATGAAATCACATAGAGCTGTATTTATTATATTATAGAGGATCAATATTCAACAATTCTCATTCACAGAAAGAAAAATTTTTATGATTCTGCTTAAACTTCAAAAAGGAAAGAAGAGTAAATGAAAATTAAAGGTTAAATATTTGCCTTTGTACATTGATATACAGAAAATTATGCTTTTCTGGGACATATTGATTAAAAGAAACTTTTCATATACTATTTTATATAGGCAGTTGTAGAATAGTGAACAAGTACTCCAGGTTTTGTTTCCATAGAAACTGGAAATATTTGGAGCTCTTGATATAGAATAAACCTCTACTTTACAATCTACAAAAATATATACAGAAAGTTCAGTGAAATGTGCTCTTATTACAGATGTACTGCTGTTTCACACACAGAGACACTTTGAGAATGAAAAGTCCAATCAGGAAATTAAGCACTGATTCCTTATCCAAACAAAAATACTATTCATAAAATTTGCTCCTACCAAGGCTGGATCAAAGTTATTTTAATATGTTGTGTGCCATCAAGTCAATTGCAGCCCCCAGAAGCCCTGTATGACACCCTAGTACTGCCAGAGGGGGTTCTAGACTGTCATCACTCCAGGAGCCGATTGCCAAGTTTTACCTCGCGCCGAGAAACTGATGGGTCCACACTGATGACCTGTGAGTTCACAGCTGAACAATTAGCCATTGTGCCACCAGAGATGCTCAAAATAACTTTATTTTATGAGCAAGTATTCATTATCTATTTTAACAAGGAAAGTTTATTTCTATATTACATGAGAAATGTAAATTTAATCTGAACAAGTTTCTTACAAAGGAAAAACAAATAAGTAAACAAAAAAACTATGACCAGATATAAGGTAGAGGAACATTCAAGATAGAGGGACTGCCAGTGAAATTAACTCAGCCTGTCCATCAGAAAATGCTTTAAAACAACAGAAAACATAGGTATATAGATGATAAATTGAATGAACGTATGATGGAAGGATAGATAGATAATAGATAGATAGATAGATAAATAGATAGATAGATAGATGATAGATAGATACACAGATCCTGACGGACAGACACACAAACACATGGTTGACCCCACATACTCATTAGCTTCTTCATCCAAAAGCAGCATGTTAACTACCCAATCTGAGCTCTGATTACTGGTGAGAGGAAGCTTGAAGGAATGTTTCCTTAATACAGAACTGTGTGGAATGAAGAAATTCTCCTTCAATCTGCCTGCTGGGCATAGACACACTGATCATACTCCTAAGCCAAGCATTTCAACTCCCAGGTCATCCTTTGTGATGGTCACTGGATAGCAGACCCTGAAACTCTACTACAAACTTAAAAATCATCTTTTCTGAGGTTTTAAAATGCTTTGGGCTCAATATTGGATTAGTTGCTTCTTCCTTATGTTTCCCTGTGTCGTTCCATTTTCACTCATCTATGCACTTTTTCTTTCCAGGAGAAAGAGAGGCCCTTCAACAGGGAAACATGACCAGGTACACCTGTGCATACTGCGCTTTACAGTTTGCCAAGCATAGCCACAGGATTTGCAGAGGCTTCCACCAAGATCACTGGGCTTTCAGTCCTATTTGAGCTTTTTAAAATATACTATGCACAGAATACAAAGGTTAGATTTTAGAAGTTGAAAGTGATTTTTGAGAGTGAAAGTGATTTCTTCTAAGTTAATGTTACAGAGAAAAGAAGTTGGGCCTTCCTACTTGAAGTCCATTGTTCTTTATACTGAACTCATGGCTTCTGGAAAATCATAGATCCCTCAGAAAATGTGTTGACCTCTGTCCTCTCCTTTGCATAAAAAAAAGTGTCACATAAGCACTTAGACATAAAAGCATTATATTGTTTGATGGGTCAAGAGTCCCTTTAAAGGCCATTGTTGGAGTCAAGAGACATTAGATAAAGGACATTTGAACTACTGGTTGAATCACATTAGTTTTTGTGTGTGTAGGTGAAATTTAGAAGATTGGGAATTCAATAGAGTGCTTTCAAAATGTTTATGGAAAAATTGAATTAAAATAGCAGTTCTCAATCTATGGGTCGTGAACCCTTTGGGGGTCGAACGACCCTTTCACAGGGGTTATTAAATTGATAACTGTAGCAAAATTACAGTTATGAAGCAGGAACAAAAAATTTTATGGTTGGGGGTCACCACAACATGAGGAACTGTATTAAAGGGTCATGCCATTAGGAAGCTTGAATTAAAAGATAATGAAACATTTCCACATATGTCTTAAAATCCCTTCAATTTTTTAATATTGTTGATTATACAGACTTTGGAAATTCTGATGAGGAAGGTACTTAATCTCACAGTTCCAGTGGGTCTCACTCGAAAAAAATCTA